TTCTTCACGTTCCCAGTGGAACATAGGGCTTCAAGCTAGTGGCTTGAAGTTTCTGTAGCAGTGCTTATTTTACAGGATGGGTTTGCTAGCCTCATGCCCAACCTCTCCTCTTCACCAGCATTATTTCTGGCTTAGCGAGGTAAAGGAGTGCGTCTGTGGCCGGGGATCGAATCCCGGACCATGTATATGGTCGGCGAGTGTCCTAACCGCTATGCCACCAACGCACACTATACTCAGTCATGTGTATTGAAAACAATGGTGAATACAAAGATTAATGTAAATCAGGTGGAACATCAAAATTATGGTCTGATGATATTAGATGGTTGGAGACAATCGGCCAGAAGAAGCCTCACTCAACCTAGATTTCGTGCTAGTTGGCACTCACCACTCAGCATGGCATATCTGCAACCAGCTTGAAGGAACTCATGTCCTTTCTGAGATTCGAACCGGCGTCAACCAGTGCCACCTGCAGTCAGTGACGTTACCACTGAGCTATTCGGGCTCGCGATTGACCTTCTGTAGGACTGTATTGGATACTTTGATTGGACACTAGTAACTAGTGTGATGTGTCTAGTTCTTTCTTTGGTGCAGACTGAATTCTGAATTCAGACTGAAGTATCTACTGCAGTCCTACAGGAGGTGAATCGCGAGACCGAAGAGCTGAGTGGTAACGTCTCTGACTGCAGCACTGGGTGATGCGGGTTCGAATCTCAGAAGTGACATGAGTTCCTTCGGCGTTGCAGATACGCCTTACTCACTGGTGAGTTCCAACTAGCACGAAACATAGGTTCAAGCCTTCCTGTGGACGATTGCCTCCAACCATCTAATATCATCAAATCAATGTACACCATGATGGCGAGCAACACAGAATGGTGGCCACATTGCAAACGTGACTGATAGAATTCAATCTGCACCAAAGAAAGGACTAGACACATCACACTAGTTACTAGTGTCCAATCAAAAGTTATGGTCTATTGTGGATTTGCTTTTCTTAACAACATTAAATGCCGTATCGTGTTTAATTGATGACTACGTTCTCTGAAGATAATCTTAGGGCAACACACTGTTACTAATGTAAGAGGTGGCAGTTGAAGATGAATCTAAAATTTGGATCGGATAAGGGTTGGAGTCAAATTAATAAGCCAGTTTTTGATCAGCTGTGCTACAATTATTTTATAACTATTATTATTTTTAATCCCTCGGATTCCAAGTGGAACATAGGGTTTCAACAGGACATGTCTATTTTATTCTGTCCTCTGGAATCATCTTTACATGGTTTACTGCATGTCAATGTCAGATCACCGCTTAACTCGTCGTTTCCCACTTGGAGGCCTGATACGTGATGTCACTCCACGCATGTCGCTCGGCGTATGCCCATCCATCTCAGTGTTCAGAATCCCACACTACCGACTATTTTACTAGTTCACTAGTTTACTGTCCGGTCCGAAGCCCAGAAAAAGACGCAAGATACCCAACAAATACTAACTTCTGAAATGAGTCAGAAGTTCAGCTGGAAGTTTAGAAATTCTTTACTTCATATAGTCGGTCATTTCTCTCCAAGTCTTGACTATGTAACAGTCAGGGAAGAAACATTCAAGAATTGGGAGTTTTCCAACCGCATCAAATGTCATCTTCAGTGAGCGTGCTCATGTTCGGCTAACTTCTCATTCCTGTGAACGTTAATCTTAGTAATTTTTGTTCTTATATCTCTAGAGAAGTAAGTACATGGGAAATTGAATGAATAGATTTCAAATTTAATGGAAGTAATTGCACTCTTACGTTTTTGATAGTGTGGAAAATTCCCATATTATGAATTAAAAGTCAATCTGAACGAAGAATATTCTTTTCAATAATTTATCTTCAGGTTCTTACAATTATAAAAATATAATATTTGTTGTCGTTACAATAAGGCCAGTTATGCGACAGATACATTTTTTAACGTAGAATAACAGATTAGTTATGGGGTGTCAAAATAAGTAGTCGTATTTGTGTGACAAACGTGCTAGGCTGAATTCGATTACAAAATAATGTAAAACGGGAGACAATGGTGATTAATCATAATAGATTTGTAGAGTGGGGGTAGGAAAATTGACAAGTCAGTTCAAGGTTATAAAAGGTGTCAGGTGAGTGGCTAGTACAAAGTGGTCTGTGTTAAACAGGAGATAGTAAGACTGCAATAAGAGGTTCTTAGTGAAATAACGAATATGTAAAATTAAACAGGTGGAGATATATATTGAGAAAAGAGATAATATCACTAATAATAAGTACGGATAGCATAAATGAAAAATTCGATAGTATTGAAGGAATGTTTGCATGAAGGGCATAAATTATGACGAATAATAATAATATTAATAATAATAATAATTGTAATAATAAGCAAAGGAAAAAAAAAAAGCCAAGAGGGTTAAGGGGAAGGAGCACTCTTGGTGAGAAGAAGAATCATCAATCTAAGTTTGGCCACGGTAGGAACAGCGTCTGGACGTGTTCTTTTTGGATACAAAGTTCCGGTTTAGTCGACCTTATTGCAACAGCTTCAGCTATGTGTAGAAGACGTAAGCGAACTGTACGTGATAACGACTTCGGAATTCGGTATATAACCCTGAAAGCTGTGTTGACATCGATATGATGTCCAGTATCGACCAAGTGTGACAGGATCGAGCTTTTTATGCACTTAATTTCCCCCCTGCTGAACAAAGCTGGTAAATGTTTTCGAACCCGTAGACGAACCTGCCTAATCGTGCGCCCTATATAACTTGAACCACAGGAACAGTTGAAATGGTATATGCATGAAGAAGAGCTAAGATTAGGTAAAACATCTTTGAGTTGCTGGGTGAACATTGGACGGCTACTGAAGGATAGACACAGACGTGCAGAGTAGAAAGTTTTCTTGATCGCCCTGGTTAAACGTTACGATAGAATCTCCGCTGGAGTATCTCCCTTGAATTGGAGACGTAAAAACAGAGGCTTTTTCTCCACCGTTGTCAGTTCATGTTTACGACTCGTCAATTTTCCTACCCCCACTCTACAAATCTATTATGATTAATCACCATTGTCTCCCGTTTTACATTATTTTGTAATCGAATTCAGCCTAGCACGTTTGTCACACAAATACGACTACTTATTTTGACACCCCATAACTAATCTGTTATTCTACGTTAAAAAATGTATCTGCCGCATAACTGGCCTTATTGTAACGACAACAAATATTATATATTTTATAATTGTAAGAACCTGAAGATAAATTATTGAAAAGAATATTCTTACGTTTTTGTGTGCATTTTTCAGTGAAATAATTTGAAATCATTTTCTTACCAACATTGTGGAAAATGGCTTTATAGTGGATGAATTTATGCACAAATTTAGCTTTATCGAATAAGGGCAGAATTGAAAATAAAGATTTTCAAAGTTGTTATAACCAAATATTCGTAAAACTTTGATTCAAGCAAAAGTATCCATCCATGGTGTAAGCATACTCACAGTCTACTTTATATATTCAATGGGTTCTGTTTCAGATAACCGTAGGGACTAAAGTCATATGGATGTTTCAGTGCCGTGTACAATTTTATGAGTCACAGTATTGTCCCAGAGATGATACTTAGCTTATCATTTTCCTCAGTTCAAGAAGAGGCAGATGGACTTAGAGATCAGTGTTGGACGATTGGGTGCTAACAAGTACTGTTTGTGATTTTTAAATCGTAAATAAGAAATCCGAGAATATTAGTCAGTGGTCCTCTTCAAACGGTCTTAAGCTAAATCCGTCTAAATGTCAGGTAGTCAATTTCACTTTCAGACGAAAACGTGACCTACAGCAACTAGCTAGCTCACATGGCCCCACTATCATTGACGGCATAGAGGTTGAAACTACATCTAATGTCAAGTACCTTAGACTGAGTATTTCCTCCGATCTTTCCTGGTCCTCTCACATCTTGCTAGTTACTAGAAAGATGTTTCGCTCAACGTTCTACGTTAGGAAATTAAGGCAGTCTGGTATAAAGCAGTCCTTGCTTTCTCAGTTTGTCAATTTTTGTATTCTACCCATCCCTCTTTACTGCTCCCCATTAATCTTTCCTGGACTACTTAAGAAAGATTTTGCTTTGTTGAGAAGGGTACTAAAAGCTGTTAGTACGGGAAGTGGGATTTCGTTAAACCAACTGGTTAACACCATTGTGGATAGACATATAATGTCATATAAGAAACTAGCGAATACTATATTGTCAGACCCCGAACATCCTCTCTATACGCAGCTCTTTCCTTGCATTTCATCTGGTAGAACTAGAAGCAACTATAGGAAGCTATATGCCAGGACTACCAAGTACAAAATCTCCACAATACCTTATCTGGCATAGCCGTTATGTGATGAGAAATTTGTTAGGCATGACACGATCAACTTACTGCGGCACTCTAACAAATGGTTCCCATTAGTTTTTGTTTTCCTTTCTGTGTTACTATTATATTGTTGTTCACATCTTCTATTACACACTAATTTTATATTTCATATTCCTGTGGTGCATTGTTTAAAAATGTAAACGCAGCGCTGTTCTTGTAAAATTTGTGAGGTAATTAGATGCAATATTGTAATGCATGCTGAAAATTCCATACCTGTACCACAGATACTGTTTGGAATAAAGGTGTTATTATTATTACTATTATTAAGACAGTGTCATTAATAACTTAACGACATTATGTCTATGGGTACAATAATACCTCAAGTCTGAAATTAGTCGTACGCGAAAGATTTATCAGAATGTACTCGTCAGTAATATGCCAAGTCTTCATGCGATTCATTTTATTTGTATTAAGGTAGAAACTGAAGAAGGTCGCGGCTATTGTCAAGAGATTAGACATTGTTTCTTATATATTAGATATAAAAAGGAATTGTTTTTTCAGCCCCCTTCCAATAAAGTGCACTCATTCAAAATGGATGCATTCACACGGCTAATGATCAACGTTCATCGACGAAAGATACCTTTATAGAAATTAAAGGCGATTATTTCGTGTTAATATATATTCTTCAGAGCTTCAAAGACAAACAGAAAATTTACAATAGTTTGAACAGCACTGACTATTTCTTCTGCAATGAAAGTTAGAATGTATACACTTCTGACAAGTTCCAAAACCCAGTGTGTCGTATTCACATTGTAAATCACCACAACAACGACGAATGAAGGTTCCTGTACACGGGGCTCCAATTTCTTGGCAACAGTGATTCACTGTATTAAAAAGGCAGAGGTTAAAAGAAATCAAAATGAATGCATAATACTCTGATGTGCTGATTAATATAATTTTCAAGTCACCAAAACACATACCACTCCAGTGGTGTAGAATAAGTTAGAGTTAAAAAATACAATCAGCAATGTCATGTTTCAAATACCTAGTGTACACATTATGGATAGAAATGGAGACCGGAAATCAGTTGGAACGCAGCTCCAAATGTTTTATCAGAATCATTTTGAGTTGGTGTATTTCCAAATGGCAGTTTTGCAACACCCCAGTCCAGACAGTAGCATGATCACAGCTCCATAAATGCTATTTCAGCTGTAGTCACAGTCCTACCACAGTCACAAACGATTAAGATTCAATGTAATTCATAACATGCAATAAACACCAAAGCATTAAGTAGTAATTATTTCTTCGTAAAGGTGTAATAAATAATATGTTCTCAGTTGGTTATAGAGGGCTTTATTGAGGAGTGAGTTTAATAAGGAGTCACTTGTAAGCAAAGAATTTCCAGTGAAATGATCTATGCATGAAAATTATAAACGATAGGAAAGGAAAGTGGTCCACTGATGGGAGATCAGCATGGTAGTGACATCAAGTTTCGTTCATCCTCGTGAAGTGGCATTGTGGAAGAAGTGATTTGATGAAAAATAACTCTCCTCCAATGGATCACATTCACGTAAGCCTTATGAAAATGGAAAAGTAACTGTCTAAATAAATATTGTACTCATGAGACAGTGAGGTGAGAAATTCTTGCAAAATGCATTTATAAATGTAAGATAACTCATGCTTGTTCTAAGATTCTAACTGATGAAGTAAGAGGACAAACCAGCTAGGTGATTATTGGCAGACTGCAATAATGATCAACGCTTGGATGTCCATCATCAGTATACTTGTAGATCAATATATATGCATGAGCAGTTCCAGGCTATTACAAAGGGGAGAGATGCAAAGCTGGTGTTTACTGTAAGCTACTGTAGTTTGCTACTGACTGAGCTGTGTGATTTCTAATGCAGGGAATGTTCAGGATTGTTATATGACCACTGTCAAAGCTTCTGGTGCACATTCTACCAATAGTATACAATCAGCATTGAGGACAATGAAATGCCGAGCGCCACCGTCAAGTCATCAGTTAGCACAAAGCATTGTTTATTCATGGAATGAGTAAGATAATTATATGAAGCGGCCTATTTTCACTTAACCCCCGTATAAGTTTCCATTAGTTCTGAATCTAATGTGAGTTCTCAGTGATATAAGCATCTGAAAATGAGATGACTTTGAGGCAGGAATGCTTCATTTTTCGGAGCATGTGATAAAACTTCACTAGACATTATTCAGTGACAAAAACAGCACATAACGAAACGAATTGGTGGGAAGAAAGGACAAGATTTGACGTTTTACAGCTGTTTGCGAAGACAAATTTGGATCGAATGAATGACTCCGATTTCGCTTATCAATGCAAAAGGAGCATTGAGATGCTCATAGGAATCCATGAGGACAGATTACCTTCCCAAACAAGTGATTAATAATATTCTAAAGAAAGACTGAGAAAGCTATGCAGCGAATTATTGGATGTAGCAAGTTCATGTGAAATTTAGTCACTGTACTACATATCTCGAATTGGTAGATGTTAGACTTGCTGGCCTATTGGATCGGGTCTCACTGCATGAATATTCAATGAGCTCGCCATACAACCGGAAAAACATAGGTATCATCACTGGTGCGCTCAAAATTGTGTACAGCTGAAGATTCAGAAACTAGAAGGAAGCAAGTAATAACTTTCCAGTACTCCCACGAATTTAATGCTTCTTTAACTGAAATCAGTCATCAAAGGATTGGGCTAGGGCAACTAGCATTAGCTGCCTCTCTACTACTTGTGACAGATGTGTTTAAATTCACATCACACAAAAGATCTTCACTCAGTTCTAGCCCAGATGCACTCATTTTCCAAAAATCAGTTTTCTAATCAGTAACTACATTTCCTGATTTCCGCCGTAGTCTTTTATACACATAAATCACTCATGTTAATTAGCAGAGATCAGATCAGTGGGACAATTCATTGGAATTACAATAATAGGAAGATCATGAATACAAACATAAGGAATAACTTACTTGTGAGCATCAATCCAAGGAGAAATGAAATGCATAAGAGCTTATTGAAACAGAGAAAACTCATTGAAATGAAGCTGTTTTCTTCTGTTACTTTCATTTGAATGCGTGTATATATATATGAGGAATGAACAACCAATCACAGTTCTTCCCATCTGATTTTAACATCGTGATTGGGAAGTGTTTCCCATAGTTTAGTCTATGAGTGACCAATAAGAGAAGCTTGTAGAAAATCATTCAATAAAAACTTATTTGAATTGTGATCAAGATATGACCGAATATTTCCAAAATAATTGATGAAAATTGATTACTTTCTCTGAAGAAGTTCGGACGGCGTTAACAGATTGCGTTAAACAGACGATTGTAAGTAACACTGCTGTGAATATATCACTATGAAATAAAGGAAAGAAATGGAGTTATATGAAGAGGAATAACATCACTAAAAATAGATGATGATAGCTTGTTAGTAGTATGAATGTGTGCGTATGTGTATGGAGGATTCAAAAACAGTTGTGACGTTTGCTCGACTGAGGAATGAAAATTATAAGGAAGTGACGAAAGCTGTCTAGTGAAGGTGAAGAGGAAAGAAAACGAGAAACACGGATGGGAGGATAGTCAATAGTCTAACCTTGGCTGCACTATCTGTACTTGTACTTTAGGAATACACAGATTGTCTTACTGCCACAATTTTAAGCATTTGCAAAAGATGCAGACGCACTGTTTGTGACAATGTTTTAGGGTAGGTGATATATCCCACTCAAGGTTATATTCAAGTTTATGTGATGTCTTCTTTTTACTAAGTCTGACAGAACAAAGCCTTTTGCAGACTTAATTTCATCATTTCTAGACCAGTCAGTTAAGCATCCTCGAATTTACCGAAGAACCTGTCTATTTGTGGGCTATAAATAGCTTGATAAACAGAAGCATTGAAGGCAGTACATGCATGAGGTTGAATGTAGAAATTCAAATGCAGATAAGAAAAGATTTTTATCTTTCTGTTGCCTTAGCGCTGAAATATCTCCACTTTATTTATATCCGACAGTGATATCATAAAACAGTAGACTGGATACAAACGTTCTTAAAGTTTTCGGATAATTTTGCTGGACTCCAGGTCTCTCAGTTACTTGAGAATGAAAACGTTAAGTCAGTAGAAAAGAAGAAGAGAGTCTTTAAAACGGATATGACAATGAATGGAAAAGCAGTAATTATCTTTAAAAATAAGTAGGTCAGAAGATGGTTATGCCTGGTCGAACCAAAACACTGCTTCAATCAAATGAAGTCTGGAACAAGTGAAGGATTAGCTAGACACATGACAATTTTCCCTACCCAGAGTACAATCAAAGGAATCCAAGTCTTTCAATAATTTATATGAAGTTTTCTCAAGTTTGAAATATTTACGATTAGCGACATATCAGTAGAGTACAATATCCCGTCACGTAACTGTACAATAACATGATCCTAAGTGGTAAGGCTAAAATTCAACTAACGATTACAGAGATAGGTCAGTAATAGATTCAAATAGGATAGGATAAAGCAGAACACGTTGAACATAAGTTATTCCATACCTTTCCATGCATCTGATATCTGCATGATTTCCTTCAACAGAGTAGGAAACTCAGGAAGGACTACAGGAGAAGTGTTCACTGTTGTGTAGTCAGTTACATTTGATATGATTATGAATGGTAATTTCTCCATGTAATACCATCCAGAGTATGATAGCATTTCTATGAATACATATCTCGTAGACTGCTTATTGCATTGTAGTATTTTCACTGATTCCACGTCTCAGTGTACTCACAAGAATGTTAAAAATCTAAATAAAGCCTGTCATTTAATTCCTCTGTAAAAGTAATCAATCACTCATAAAAAAGTAGACTCGTTTTCATTTTGATTGATTCCAGGTAACAGTGGAACCCAGAATTCAACTTTCAACTTATTTCGGACCACTTGACTACGTAGTATCCACCGAGATGAGTAGTCAATAACCATTGTCACAAACGCCAAAGCGTCATCCATTAGACCACTCAGCCACCACAGCCATCTTTAGCACAACTGGCATCAGTTTTCATCTATATTAAAATAACTACTTCAGAATCCTCGTCGATTATGTTGAATCAAAATTCTCAAGTATTGGTTTTGTAGGGATTTGTTTGATTGCATGGAGGATTTCATCATGAGCTGACATCAGTTAGAGAACCATTGGAAAACCACCTGGGAGTACTGGACAGCTGTTTCGTCCTAGTTTGGGACTCTTCATCAGTACGAACCCACCGGGATTCGAACCCAGGACCTTCTGGTTACAAGGCGAGCTCGTAGACCATTGAACCACTGGGACCTGATCCAGTGATCCTTGAATTCAAACTTCTGCCAATTCACGAAATAGCGCGACCATTTCGCAATGTCTTCTTCGATGAGTTACTGCCTCATCTTCAACCACTCAAACGAATTCCTACAAAAGCAATACTTGAAAATTGATCCGATGCTCACTAGCGACTGGGCCTATTCAGGCAGTTAACCTGGGGTTCTAGTGGGAAGCCGTGACCAGTAAGGTACAGCAGGTTGAGGGTGAGGCAGTAACTCATCTAATAAGACATTGCGAAATGGTCGCGCTATGTCGTGAATTGGCAAAAGTTAGAATTCATGGGCCATTGGATCGGTTCCCAGTGGCCTAATGGTATACGCGCTCGCCTCGTAACCAGAAGGTCCTGGGTTCGAATCCCGGTGGGTTCGTACTGATGAAGAGTCCCAAACTAGGACGAAACAGCTGTCCAGTACTCCCAGGTGGTTTTCCAATGGTTCTCTAACTAATGTCAGCTCATGATGAAATCCCCCATGCGATGAATCAAAATTCGTTGGCAATGCATCCTTCCTCGGAGGTGAAACGAAAACAGAGACAGGGCATTTTGCTGCGGCTTAATAAATACATGTGAACTTCAAAGTAATAATTTCAGCAAGTAGATTCAATGTCGACAGAACAACAGGAAGACGAAATTTATCTGAATCGTGTAATAGTGCAGTTTCTGAAATACACATATATTTGAATATGTACATACTTGTCATAAGAATAAGGCGTTAGTTGGTGAGGGAATTCACAAAGGTCAGTCTGAAAGCCATTCAGAAGATAATGAGAGCAATGAATATCAATGAATTAGACAAAATGAGGGATAACAGTAATTCACTCACGGTTTGCAAACAAAATTGACCAGGGGAGGTTTAAATTGTGGCGAAATCTGTTTTGAACACATAAACTTCACCAAAAATTCTCAATCAATAACCCCGCCACAAACTTTACGATATACCTCCACCCAAATATACACATGCATTGATTGGTGTTCCTGCAATATGTTTCGAAAACGAAGTAGCTTCCCTGTAAATCCATATAACAATTATGTATGTTATCACATTGTTCGAAATGTGTAGTACAAATATATTACACATTTCGGGTAAACCACGTCTTATCATTGCCTTTTATAAATTCACATAGGGAAGCAAGTGTTTCAGACTAGATTTCGGTGCAAATTAGTGACAAATGTTTGAATTATATTCTCAACTACTGTCTCATTGTCAATAAATTGACTGAGTGTTCTTTTGAAGAACTGTGAGTAATAGAAGCGATCGAATTTCCTAAATGGTCAATATCGTAGTTCATGTTATTATTATTTTGCTGTTTTTCTAGTGGAAAATGGGGTTTTGACAGCAAATCTGGCCTCTTCGTCTTATCCTCTGCAGTCCCCTTGAGCTAACTGCAAATAACCCATAAGCGCCTTGATTTCCTCCTTACGTGATCTTCAACATGGCACTATCGGAGTCACACCCAACTCGTCATTTCTTATGTGGCTTTCAACTGAGGCCGTTTAGTGTGATATCAGCCAGCGGTTTCTTCAGCGCATGTCCAGTCCATCTGCATTTGCTTCAGCAAGTTTGCTGGACGATCGTTTCTTGATTGCTTTGTTACTGGTGACGCATGCTCTTAATCATTATTGCCACCTGATATTCAGTATGGATAGGATCTGGCTGCTGATAAATATATTCTGTAACCTGTTGGAAATGATTCACGCAATGTGCGCTTCAAGTCTCTGAGCCATACAAACAGACAGACTGACTGATTTGATATCACTGTTGTGGATCTGAATCTCATAACTTCGTAGATTACATTGAAGGAGGTGTTTGTTAAGATGGAATAACCGACGTTAACAATGTGTTCAATTATCTCACTCCTTATAGATACACTTCTGCGGCATCGTCTTCTTAATAACAGTAGTAAAGCTTTATATCAGACAAAATGTGTACGAACAGTATAGAAATTCGCAGATTATTTAGTCACGAAACATCTCTTTTTCGTACAGGATTCACATGTAAATTAATACTCTGGAGTATTTTATGTGACGTAGTGTTGGTGTATGTGGGGAGAGAACCGATAGCTTAAGTTTCTTCTTCTTCATCTCCCGCAGGAATTGCACAGAGTTTAGTTGGAAGCTGATTAAATATGCGTGCCGGTTCATGAGGTGATTATCTGGTATAATTGCGTGGTTTGAAGAATAAGAAATGCATAAGTCTCTGAATATTTTGATGAGTGGGAATTCTGTTAGTCCAATGATTCAAACATGCCGCCATTGATGCCCTGCTTAAACCATGTGAGATAGTGTTCTTTTAAACTGGATACGCGTCGAACAACCAATGTACCTAGCCACGTAGAAAAGAGTGAACTCACATTTGCAAACAGAAGTAGTCGGATGCGGGATCTTGTCATTCAGGTTTATGCAAACCAATGAACGACTAGACAGCTCTCATCAGTGCTGCGTAGAATGTTCTTCTCAAAGACGATGAAATACTTCTCTTGAGGTTAATTCAGGTTAAGCCCCCCTTGATGTCGAGGCTCATTTAAATTCTGTTTTTGGGACAAGTGATGTTTCACTTTTTTGAACATTTGGTTTGATATTCTTGTCAATTAATCCTAGTTGGTATCCATTATGGGTGAAGGTTCCTTTCAGAAGATCTGTTCCTCAACATCTCAGTAAGCGCTTCTCTCAGAGTAATCTACAGCCTACAGAATAGCTAGCCGAAAGCAATACTCTTTCGTCTT